TCAATCTCCTCCATTCCAGCTTTTGCACTCCCACCTGGCACACACACTGCCACTACTCTTGTCAAGGCCCCAATGCCCTCTGAGGTGCTCCATCAGTGGTCATCCTCAGGGCTCATCTCACTCAACCTCTCAGCACACGGACACAGCTGCCCATGCCCTTCTTCTTGCTTCTCTTTCCTCCCTTGGCCTCCTGGATGCCCCTCTCCTGGTGTTCCTCCCGTCTCTCTGCTCCCTCTTCTTTTTCCTTGGCTATCTCCTGCTCTCATCCCCACGCTCCTGACGCTCCATCCTTGGATCTCGTCTCTATTTACACTCAGCCTCTTGGTGGTCACAAGCAGTCTCATGATTTTAAATACCATCTAGATGCTGAAGACTCCCAAATTGACACCTCCAGCCCAGATCCTCTCAATTCCAGACTCATCTATCCCAAAAACTTCCTCAACATCTCTACTTGGATACGTAATAAATATCGCAAACTCAGGCCTGAGACTGAACATCTGATCTCCCCCCACAATCTGCTGCACTCTCAGCCTTCCTTATCCCAGATGATGGCAACTCCATCCTTCCAGTTACTCCAACCAGAGATGCTGGAGTGAGTCATCTATGGTAACTCTCTTTCCCCTACGCTCCATGTCTTATCTATCAGGAAATCTTATTGGATCTACTTTCAAAATACAATCAAATGTGGACCACTTCTTTCTACCCCACTGATACCACCTTGATCTCAGCTACCAATATCTTTCACCCCCACTGAGAGTCTGTTCTCCACAGAGCATCCTCACTGACCCTTTGAGAACATAAGTCAGATTCAGTCACTCCTCTGTTCAGACCCTCCAATGGCTCCACTCAGAGTAAAAGCCAAAGTTCTTACAAGGACCTAAAAGGCCTAGTGATCTGCCCCCACCACCCGTTACCACTGATCGTGACATCTCCTCGTCACCCACTCGCCTCCCCTCACTCACTCCACTCCAGCCACACTGGCCTCCTTGCTCTTCCTAGAAAGGGGCAGTGGTGCTTCCACCTTTAGACCTTTGCACATGGTATTCCCTCTGCCTGCACTAATCTTCCCTTAGATACTGGCAAGGCTTGCTCCCTTTCGTCCCTCCCACATGCTCAGATCTCTCCTCAGCAAGGCTACGCTGCCCTCTCTGCTTAACTCCGCCACCTGCCCCAGGCCTTTCCTCAGAACACCCCCATACCCTGTACGCTGCTCAACTTTTTCTTCTTTCTGTATTACTAACCACCCTCCAACATAATAGAAAATCTACTTAGATAATATGTCTGCCCTTCCTGCCAGAATGTAAACCCCAAGAGAGAAGGGATCATTTGTCTGTCATGACGTAGCCCAAGGATCTAAAACAGTGCAAGATACATACTAAGTGCTCAATAAGTATTTATTTATTTATTTTTAAAGATTGGCACCTGGGCTAACAACTGTTGCCAATCTTCCTTTTTTTTTTTTTTCCTACTTTATCTCCCCAAACCCCCCCTGTACACAGTTGTATATCTTAGTTGCAGGTCCTTCTGGTTGTGGGATGTGGGACGCCGCCTCAACGTGGCCTGACGAGCGGTGCCATGTCCGTGCCGAGGATCCAAACCCTGGGCCGCTGCAGTGGAGCACGCAAACTTAACCACTCGGCCACGGAGCCGGCCCCCTCAATAAGTATTTATTGAATCAATGAATAAACGATGAGAAGTGATGGTGAACATGTTCCCTGTGCTCACAGTGTTGACAGTGCATGGGGTGGAGTGGGATGGGGAAAACAGACAAGGCAACAGGGAGGTAAGAGCCTGCAGAAAGTGGCTCCTGCCATTCCTCCAGCTTGATCCCTCATCCCTCTTCCCTCATACACAACATCCCAGCTATACAGGCCATGTTTTTCATTCCTTGAACCCTCCAAGTGCCTTCCCACCTCAGGACCTTTGCATATACTGTTCTCCCTGCCCAGACTATTCTTCCTGCCTTTATCTAGCTAATTCCAACTCTATTTTCAAGTCTTAGATAAATGCCATTATTATTATAGCTCAGAGCTGAGCACTGAGTAAGTGCCCAATAAAGGTATATGTTTCGATATATATTTTTAAAAGTACTGTTATTATCCCATTTTACAGATGAAGAAACTAGAGCCCAGAGAGGTTACAATTTTTGCCCAAGAACCCACAACTAAGAACTATTTGTTGAAATAATAAACATGTTGATTAAATAATCAAAGTGGAGTTTGAAAGCAGTGACCTTGATGGTTTCTGAAAGGAAGATTAGAGTTTCCTGTGGAAAAACTTGTCCTGAGGTGAGTGAGAGGGCTGCCTGCAGCTGTGCAATCAAGCCCTGCTCCCTTCCTGAAGCCCTCCCTCCCCGAGGTTTAGAGGTTTGTTTGTTTAACATAACTCCATCCAAAGCAGGAACTCACTCCACAGTACTCCAGCCTCTGCTAACATACCTCCTCAACTGGGGAACTCACTACTCAAGAACACAAAAGCCCTCTCTTTCAAAGAATATAAAGAGACAATTCACAGAAGAGACACAAATGCTCAAAACAATCCATAAAGAGATGTCTGATCCTACTAACCATGGAAGAAATAAAACACAACATGGAGATATACTTAGTTTCTCAGTTTAGCAGAAGTAAAAATTGATAGGAACTTTCTAGAGGGCAGTTTAGCAACATAGGTCAAAACGTAAAATACATATTCCTTTTGACTGCTGGCAATTTACCCTGAGGAAAGAACAGCACAAGTGTGTTCTTGACAATTTTTGTTTATATTTGCAAATTGTGGAAATAACCTAAATGTCCAACAGTAGAGAACTGGTTAAATAAATAATGGTACAGCTCTACATGTTGTAGTTAAAAATGATGCAACACAGGTATTCCTGGTCGCTTGCAAGGAAGAGGATTGTGTTTCTGGGGACAGAGGGGAGGGGGGAGGGTTGGGCTTTTCTTGTATATTCTTTGGTAACTGTAATTTTTTATTTTTGTGGATGCATTTAACATTCAAAATAATAAATAATATTTAAAATATTTGTTTAAAAAATGCTATAGATCTCTACTAGTTGTTCTGGGATGATCCACAATGTTGAGTGGAAAAAAAGTTACCAAATTCCATATAGAATACAATTTCATTTACATTAGATTGCTTATTATATAATAAAGATATAAGTATAGATGTAGGTACAGAAAGTTATTTGTGGAATGATGCTCCAATTTAATAATGGTGGTACCTCTAGCAGAAAGAATTTAGAGATGATTTTTACTTTTTTCTACATATTTTTATGTATTGTGTGGATTGTTTACAATGAGCATGGATTTTTTTAAAACACCAAGGAAAAATATTTTAAGGTTATTTTTTTTTTCTTAAAAAAGGAAGTGCCTCTTCTGAATGTATCTGCATACATGATGTCTGGGAAGGACATACACCAAGGTGTTAACAGTAGTGGGTAAAACTGTTGCTTCTCTTTATTTTTTTGTTCTCCTTTCCGCATGTTTCTATTTTATGGGTTTTCTGTAGTTAATTAGTTTTGTAAAGGGGAAAGGGGCACTACACTTTGTTTTAAAAAGTTCTTCCCTAAACTGAGCTGAAGTTTTTCAGTGGTATCAATTCCAGTGCATAAAGGGCTATATGCTATTCTGCATAATCCTCATTTTGTCCCAAAAATTATATATATATATGCAATATATATAACCCATTACATTGGGTTTACATATGTAATGTATGTGTATATACACACACATATATATACATCTATACATATACACACATATATATACGACCTACTTCTTAGCCCTTCCTCATATCTCCATCTGTATTCTCCCAATCCTTCAAGATCCTTCAATATTGCTATTAGAGGGATAGATGAAAGTAGCTATTAAACATAACAGGCTTTGAAGTCAGAATTCCAAGTAGGTCACCAATGTGTGATCTAGAGTAGATATTAAAAATCCTCCCCACAGGAAGAAAAGGTTTTTGTTTTTCCTGCTTTATCCCCCCAAATACCCCTGGTACATAGTCATATATCTCAGTTGCAGGTCCTCCTGGTTGTGGCATGTGGGATGCCGCCTCAACATGGCCTGATGAGCGGTGCCATGTCTGTGCCCAGGATCTGAACCAGCAAAACCCTGGGCCGCCGCAGCGGAGTGGGTGAACTTAACCACTTGGCCATGGGGCTGGCCCCGAAAAGGTTATTTTAAACTATATATAGTGATGGATGTTAACTGGACTTATTGTGGTGATCATTTCATCATATATACAAATATTGAATCATTATATTGTACACCTGAAACTAATAGGTTATATGTCAATTAGACCTCAACTTTTAAAAAAGGGGTGGGAGCAGGCCTGGTGGCCTAGTGATTAAGTTCTGCATGCTCTCCTTCGGCAGCCCAGTTGGTCCTGGTTCCGTTCCTGGGTGCAGACCTACACCATTCATCAAGCCATGCTATGGCAGTGACCCTCATACAAAATAGAGGAAGACTGGCATAGACGTTAGCTCAGGGCCAATCTTCCTTAGCAAAAAAAATATAAATAAATATATTTTTTTTAAAAAGGTGTGATCTCAGTTAACATCCCTTATCTGTAAAAGAGAAATTAAAACAGCATCTCTTTGATAACTTTGTGAGAATTAAATGAAACAATGCATACAAATCGCTTAGCCCAGGCTGGTATATAATAACAAGTATCGAATAATTTATTCTTACTTGGCCCAGTACATGGTAGGCGAAAGTCGGTGATTACCGTGCTGTTGTTGTTATTCCCCTCCACGCCACGAAGTGCGCTGCGGCCTTCAGGCTGACTAGGCCCGGGGTCAGGATGGCGGAAGTCCGTCTAGCCGCGGCCGCCTCCATCTTAGAATACAGGCCCGCCTCATCCCGCAGGCAGAGCTGCTTCGTGCAGTCTCAGAGGCCGACCTGCTCGCAGCGACACCGGGCCCCTTACCTCCTTTGGCACTCCCTCCAGTCAACCGTCTTTCCGCAAGGCGAGTCTTAATCTCCTTGGAAACACTAAAGGCGGCGTCTTCGGGGAGCCGGCTTCGGCCCGTGACCTCAGAAATATACTTCCGGAGACACGGACGTGACCCATCGCCCCGCCCTCTCCTCCTCTCTCTTTCCGGTGGCGGAGCTTGGAGAAGACGTGCAGGTAGGAGGCCTTGGAGAGGACAATCGGGTGGCATCCTGCGTCAGGGGGCGCTCAGCGGGGCCGGGGTCGTGGGACTGGGGTCTTTCCGCGGAGGCCGAGCCAGGTGCCGGGCGAGAGCGGCGCGGCCGGCGGACCCAGACTCAAGTTTGCGCCTGGTCTGAAGGCGGCGGTCTCGCTCCAGGAAGGAACCTGTGAAGTGGGGACGAGCGCGGGTGTAGCTCGAAGGCCCTGGCCCCGCGCTGGGACCGCCGCTGCGTGTAAGCACGTCGTGTTGGGGAGGAGCGGGGCTCTGAGTGTGATGGGGGCTCCCGCCTCTGTCCCGCCAGCGTCTTCCTGGGCGGTCGCAGGCCAGGCGCCTAGTCTCCAGTTTATTTCCTCGTCGGGAAGATGGGAATCGTGGATCCCATGGGGCGTAGTGAGGATTCCACGGGGCCGTGCAGGAAAAGCGGCCCTGTGTCGGGTGCTTCCTCAGTCGGGGCGATGGCAAAGTCGGGCACGTTGCTGATTCTGGGCGCTCGGGGCAGGCTTGTCAAAGCCAGAAACTGGGGGAGAGACTGCACGTCAGTGTCCACTGAGCACCTGCCGTGCGCTTGTACACCTCCGGCTGACCGTTCTCACCTGCCCCTCGGGGTGGCGCGCGGTGGGAGACTGCAAATGGGCATCGGCGTTCCCAGTGCCCACCGTGCAGGAACTGATAGTCATGCTGCTTAGTTCAGCTCTCCTGGAGCCTTTCTGGCCTCCTCCAGGCAGAACGTGGAGCTGCTCCCCTGTGAGTTCCCTTGGCACTTTCCTTGCTATTCTCACCCATTGGGTCTGATTTGAGGGTAGGAACAGTGAGCTTTGTACACCCGGGGCGACACTCAGTGCTTACCGTGATCAGACACTAACTAAACATTCTGTAGGGAAGGCACAGGCTGGATCGAGGGACACGGACTGTCCAGGTCTGGAGTGGTGGTCCCTTATGGGCCAGCGTAGAGAGTGCTGGGCTGGGAGTCAGGACTCTTTGGTTTCAGGTTTGGTTTTGCCACTGTCTTCATGAACCAGGTGAGGTTCTGCTGTCTCTGTCTTCTCCATCCTGGCTTCATCTGAGCCCTTCTTGGTTCTAGTGTCTTCTGAAAGTGTTAGGAAATCGTTCTGATTCTTGAGTCTTGGGAGGGTGAGGAGGCCTGGGGCTTTGGCAGAAGGCAGTCGTCTCCCAGCCTTCCAGATTCTCATGCTCGCCTGCATTCCAGCTGTCCCTGTCTCCTTTCTCTGGGTCCTGTGACACTATGGCTGCTCTTAGACTGCGTGGTATGTCAGAGGGGAATTACTGGGTTTCACAGGCACCTTGAGTTTCTGGGCTAGGTCTTTTCTATTAGCCTTCTGAAGGGACATGTTTTAGTGCCTCTAATATTTAGTTCTGGTAAAAGCTTAAGAGTTTGGTTTTAAACAGTTGTGGAAGGGTGGCAGGAGATGAATTGCCAGAGGATGGGAGGTAGCATTTAAACTGGCTTTTGGAGGCATCTGGTGGGGCACAGAAATAGTAAGAGATGAAGCCAGAGGGGTGTGTTGGTAAGGGAGCCTTGAATTCTAAGCTGAGGCGTTGGTGCAGAATTCAGGCAGTGGGCTCCTCACCCCTCCAAGCGTCTTCAGCTCTCACCAATGCATGCCTGGGTTATTGGCTTTCTACCAGCCTTCGGGGCTGTGGTCTTTTCCGGCTTCTGTGAGCCTAACCTCTAAATGGTGCGTGGGGGCCAGGAAACCCAGAACTCCTGACATTGGAATTATCGTGAGGTATAGACTGAGAATCCCCTGATCTGGTTCTGATCTCTGCTGTGTGACTGACTTGCTATGTTACCCTAAACAAATCATCCAAAATTTGTCAGCTTATGTATTTGGGACACTATGGCCCAAAGAGTTGATTTGCCCAGATCTACAGAGACTTTAGCCAGTGTGTTTCTCATATTTCTGAGCCCCACTGGGTAAACATTTGAGGAATGCTTGTGGTCTGCTGCTAGAACCCTCAGCTTCTATCCTGTGGGTGCTGTGAGCTGTGCTTTGGTACAAAGGTTTAGGAGAAGGGTTACCTCTCAGGGTACTTTGCTTTTTAGCCATCAATTGAAATCCCCTAACTGCAGGGAGAAGTGGGTTTTAGTGAGGCAGAGATGAGAGTATAGCACAGTCCTGGGTGGAGGGAGACAGGACACAGAGGAGCAAAATGTGGGGTTTCCTTTAATAGTGCGGGGAGAGGGATTCTGGAAATCCGTGTCTGTTGTTAACATTGGGGTTCTTTTCCTCGTCTCAGAAATGGCACCTCGCAAGGGAAAGGAAAAGAAGGAAGAACAGGTCATCAGCCTTGGACCTCAGGTGGCTGAAGGAGAAAATGTATTTGGTGTCTGCCACATCTTTGCATCCTTCAATGACACTTTTGTCCACGTCACCGATCTTTCCGGCAAGTGAGTACCTGGGTGGAGAGGCAGAATGCCAAGGGGCTGGGGGGAAAATGACCCCGCAACTGGGTGGTCATTTAAGGTGTTCTTTAAAAAGAATTTAAAAGAATGTTTAGATAGGGGAATGTGCTTGGTTGTTTGGTCCACACATACTGTAATTTCCCAGGCACTGGACTTAAGAAAGAGGAAAAGGCACATCTGCGCCTTTATGGCTTTAGAGTGGGGCGATCATTGAATCCTCGATCTCTTGGTACTTTGTAGGGGCAGTTGTGGACTGGAAGTCCACCCTTGGTGCAGGTGCTGGCTGCCATCAGCAAGTTTTTGTGACTTGTGTGAAGTCACTCAGATTCCAAGTTTTGGTTTCCCTTGTATGTAAAATGAGGTTAACAGTGCCTTCCTCATGGAGTAATTGGGTGGATTAAATGCAAAGTAAATATAATGTGTCAATACCAAGTTTAGCTATCTTGGATCTGTGAACCCCATGAAGGCAGAGCCCATGGCAGTCTTGTCAGAAGGGATGCACGCTCAAGTTGACCTTCGTCCTCTGCCATCCCTGAGTGTGGCACTCTTTACTCATTCAAACATATAAGCACTCAGAATCCTTATTGGATGAGAAATGACCATCTGCTTTTGTCCCAGGGAAACCATCTGCCGTGTGACTGGTGGGATGAAGGTGAAGGCCGACCGAGATGAATCCTCTCCATATGCTGCCATGTTGGCTGCCCAGGATGTGGCCCAGAGGTGCAAGGAGCTGGGCATCACTGCCCTCCACATCAAACTCCGGGCCACGGGAGGAAACAGGTGGGTCAGCCAGGGGCTGGGTGTGAGATCATTGGGCTTGGGTGCCAGAACACGTGGATTTAGGCTTGGTTTTTCTTTTGTGACTTTGTACAGGACATCTTAGATGTGTGCACATATTTAATAACTGATTCCTGCACTGCTCCCCTCTTCTCCAACTTAGTGTGTATAATGAGCACCCACTGTATACCGGGTGCTGTGTTCTACATAGTGGAAGAGAATGTTGAGAAAAGGTGCTTGCCCCCTTGTGTGGTACATAGGCTGGTGGGAGAGTCAGACTTTAAGCCCCATAAGCACAGGAGCATGTGATTGCCATTTGTGGCAAGTTCTGGAACGCAAAAGTATGGTGTCAAGGATGGAGTTAGTGAAATTAGTTAAATTACACTTTAGTTGGTTAAATTACACTTTAATTTAAACTAAAATCTAGATGTTGTGCCAGGAGTCCAGTAAAGGAAGGACGAGGAGAGAGTATTCCAGCCAGAGACAACTACAAAGAAAAGGTCTCGGGTGGGAATGAAGTTGTCACATCTGCAGGAAAGAGTGACAACAGGTGTCATCAGAAATAGGCAGGAGCGAGGTCCTTCTGGGTCTTGAAGGACACAGTAAGGATTTGAACTTTGAGGGAGTGTGAGGGATAAAACGTTTTTTGATAGTAGTGACCTACTGAGAGTAGGGTTTTTAAAGATGACTGCTATGTGGGGACCAGATCAGAGAGGAAGTTGTTAAAGTGGTCCATTGGAGAGATGGTAGTGTCTTGGGTCTTAGGTGAATGGAGCAGTTGGAAATGGACAGATCACTAAAAAAGACTTAGACTCATAGGATGTGTCAGGAAGAGACAGTGCTTTAAAAGGCTGCAGGCAGAGCAGGGCACAAATTATCACCCATGGGCCAAATCTGGCCTGCCACTTGTTTTTATACTGTCAGTGGGCTGCGAATAATTTTTACATTAAAAAAAAAAAAAAAAGGTATGCTGGGGCCGGCCTGGTGGCGCAGCGGTTAAGTTCGCACGTTCCGCTTCTCGGCGGCCCAGGGTTCACCAGTTCAGATCCTGGGTGCGGACATGGCCCTGCTTGGCACCCCATGCTGTGGTAGGCGTCCCACATATAAAGTAGAGGAAGATGGGCACAGATGTTAGCTCAGGGCTAATCTTCCTCAAAAAATAAATAAATAAAATTTAATTAAATTTTTGAAAGTATACAACAGAAACCATAAATGCCCCGCTAAGCCAAAAATATTTACTGTCTGGCCCTTTATGGAAAGCTTGCAGATCCTGAACTAGAGGGTTGTGGGATTTAAAAAGAAGCCCTGATGACTTGGCCAAAGGCTTTTCTTAATGTAGACCTTCATTTCCTAGGACCAAGACCCCTGGGCCTGGGGCCCAGTCAGCCCTCAGAGCCCTTGCCCGCTCTGGAATGAAGATAGGGCGGATTGGTAAGTGTCCCCCTCTAGCTAGCGCTTGGATCTGCTTTGAAGCGTTGACCCCAGAAAGCATGTGATGTACCCAGTGGAAACAGGGCCTGGTCTGGGCACTGTTGGCAGTCAGGATTGTTGGTGGGGACTGCAAGAGGCACCGTGTGACTTAAAGTCTCTCCCTGGACACCCCTGTTACCTTGATGTGAGTGTTGTCCTTCCTTTCAGCATTGGGACAGCACAGTTTCATTTCTGAATCTGTGTCCCACACTGCCTGGTGCAGGGCTTGAGACAGTAGCTGATAGCACTGACAGGAGAGGAGTTAGCCTTCCTGTCCAATGTTTCTTGAAAGAGTTAATACTATTGGCATTTTGTGTGGCCTGTCTCCTGCATCATAGGACACTCGGCATCTGTGGTCCTTCCTTCCTAAGTATCAGTAGGACCTGCCAGTCATTGTGACAACCAAAAGTGAATGTGGGGAGCTGCGGCTCCCATAGTTGAAAATCACAGCAAGCCCTACCTTTGTGTAGCACCAGTGCCCTCACGTGTGATCTGGCCCCTTTCAGCTCAAAGGAAGAGGACGTGTTAGCCCTATCCTATTGTTTTTGTGCACTTGGCAGCAACATGTACTGATACCTCAGTCTAATGATCCAGCTCTCTTCTCTTAAGATTTTTTTTCAGAATATTTTCAACCTTTTACCTATTTGAAAAGGAGATAGTCTTCACTTGCCCTGTTTCCAAGGACTTTCCCACTAGAGAGTCAGTGGGCTAGGTGTCAGAAACCTGGATTTGTCGTCTGCCTCTGGCATCCTATGGAGGTTGTGTCCCCTCTGAGCCTCAGTTTTCCCTTTGGAGAAGTAAGTTCAGAAGTGAAAATCAAGTTTTGAGGAAACAGCCAGTGGGGCAGCTGCATATCCATCTGTTAGGTACCAAAGACTCATCTGGGGAGCAGCAGCATCTGCTGTCGATCCGTTAGACCACTGGCCTAGGGAGGCATAAAGGCCTTCCCATCCAGCTCCAGGCAATGATGTTTTCTCTTCCTCCCCACAGAGGATGTCACCCCCATCCCCTCTGATAGCACCCGCAGGAAAGGGGGTCGCCGTGGTCGCCGTCTGTGAACAGGACTCCTCAAATTGTTTTCTGTTAATAAATTGTCTTCATGTAAGCTGTTTTGACTCTAGTCTTCTCTCTGTAGTGGCCACCCCTCAGGGATATTTGATTCTTTCCTGCTGTCAGTGTTTGACCAGGACGGGAGACTGACTCAAGGTCACAGATACAGTGATAAACAAGCCGGTATTTCAAAGATATATTGCTTCAGACAATGTAGATAGACACAAAAGGGGTTGATTCAGCCCCTGACATGGGACAGAGGATGAGCCTGTGGTCTGCAAACTGACTTTGCTAGCGGGAGGAGGATAAGGAGAGGTGAGATACTAGTCCTGGAGTTGGGTCTTTTCCCTGCTGCCCATTGCTGCAGTAAGCTGCCTGAGTCGTCCAAAGCAGACCAAGGCCTTAGAGACCTTGTTTGAAAGGGGAGATGTTGGTTCCAAAAATGGACCAATTCTTAAAGAGCCAGAACGGAGTAGAAACTGTTGAGCCAAGTGTACCCTGAGCAGAAGAGGAGCCTTCCAGACTTGAGCCATATATAAACACGTGTGGGTGTACTCGCCCCCCCACACCTTCTGTGCAAAATTGGTAGCACACTCTGCTGCATCTTTTTCTCACTTGGCAGATCTTGGAGATTGTTCCACATCAGTACATAAAGTACATAAAGATTCAGTCATTCCACAAATACACACCAAGCCCTATTTTCATCAACGATAAAAAGTTTTTTGCTTTCCGGAAGCTTGCATTCAGTTCCAAGGACCCAGTGGCACCAGATGGTACTGAGTGTTCTGCAAGAGTTTTAGCATAGGGCCCTGCAATGGTGACTGCTACTCTGACAGGTGGATACAAGATGCAGGACAGTAGCTGGTGGGTGAACAGGGTTAGCCAGGCCTAATGGAGAGGAGAGGATGCTGAGTGTCCCTGGCTAGAGACGTGAGGGCATTGAGAGTACAAGGGAGTGATAAGTTGCGTAGGAAAAGTCAGGACAAGAGGGGAAGGTTTGAAGAATCAAAGCAAATTAGAAATGAGATGTTGCGTTTCAGAAGAACATTTCCTTGCAGATCTTACAGCTGAATGTATAGTCTGCTCTCACCTTTCCTCTCAATGACAAGGCAACAGATGAGGAATAGAAGGAAGCAGAAAATAATGGAGTGAAAAGAATCACAATGCAAGACCTGTCATCAGGATCAATTATTCAACACAATTACTTACTTATTTTAAAAAATAGCCGTTAAAAGCTATTGTGTGTTCTGTGTATTCTCTTTGGGGGTTCATATTGGCCAGTATTCTGATACAGAACAGATTCTACTCTAGACAATTTGAATAAAAAGATATATTACACCATGTCAGGTGGCTTACAGAGTTATTCTCAAGTCAGGCTGCCCAAGGAGCTGCTTGTCCAGTCAGGAATCATCGCTTATTACGAATGTAAACATGCCTCAGTCTGAGCTGCTGGATTAGCTACATTTACTAGTTCCAGAATGGCATCACTGTGCTTGAATCGGGACATCTTGTGTGAAATCGGGAAGCTGCCATGATAGCTTCAGGGTCCCACATCATGCCACCTTTTCTACTATCAAGGCCATTTGCGGTAAGTCTCAGAGACAGTTTGTCTCCAGAACCGTGCCACGTCTGCTGTAATCCACGTGATAAAATACATGCTCAATATCCCGTTTATCTCAATTTAAATTTCAAGTCTCATGATTGTATCTGATGTGGAAGCTCAATCAAACTTGGGTCACCAGCTGAAAATGATTCGGGGAATGTTTTTTAGCTTTCTGTTCTCCAGAGGAAAGGGAAATCACAACTAGAAGAAAATTGGAATAGTGTGAGCCAAACATCCATAGCTGCATTAGACTTCACTCTTCTCCACATTCATCTCTGAAAATTTCAAACTTTCTGTTGTCATCTAGAGAATCATGTATTTGGTCCATCTGTGAGCATAGTCCGCAAGTGTGGAAGTTTCCTACCGTCAGTAAATGTTTAATAAGTACTGAATAAAAAGAGAGGAAGGTATGTTGGGATGCTGTTAACTTAGGGCAGACCTCTGAAGGCTTGTTTTGAGCAGAAACTGACAAAGGAACAAGCCGCTTTCTGAGCAGAGGGAAGGAGTTTGTAGAGAGGTCCTGAGACAGGCGGGTTACTGTGATGAAGCAGCATTGCTTACACGCCAGACCCTGCTGAGCATTTTAATCATCTTGTTGAATCTTAAAGCTGATGGAAAAGCTGCTGTCATTCCCGTAATACAGGTAAGGAAAACCGACATAGAAAGTGACTTGCCAAAGGTCACAGCTTACAAGAGAAAGCAGTTCTGACTCCTGAGCTGCACTTTGAATAACAAATTTATTGAGCTATCATTCACATACCATACAATTCACCTATGTGAAGTGTACAATTCAGTGGTTTTTAGTATATTCAGTTGTGCAGGCATCTCGACAATCAATTTTAGAACATATTCGTGACCGCCCCCCCCCCCCCCAAAAAACCCCAAACCTGTTAGCAGTCGCTCCTTTTTCTTGCCCGAGGCAACCACTAATCCAAATACTTTCTGTCTATAGATTTGCCTGTTCTGGACATGTCATATAAGCGCAGTCTACAATATGTGGTCTTTTGTGTATAGATTTTATGGATTCTTTAATTCAGAATAATGTTTTCAAGGTTCATGTAGCATGTATCAGTACTTGATTCCTTTTTATTAACTGACTAATATTCCGTTGTCTGGACATACAGATCGCATTCTTTACAACACTCTTCCCCTCAAGAGTCCTGGAGACCTAGGTCCAGCCAGGGCTTTTACCAGCCTGCCTAAAAATATACAACTACGTACCGGGGGGCTTTGGGGAGAAAAAGGAAAAATAAAATCTTTAAAGAAAAATGAGGAGTGAGATTACCACCCACAATGTAAAAAGAGTCCATATAAGTGATTTCAATAAATAAATGAAGAAAGTGCAAGTTTTCCTTATAAAAGAATTCCAAATAGTGTAAGTAGATACTCCCCCTTCCACTGTGTGGAACTTAATTTCTCCTCCCATTGAGTGAGGGCTGGACTTAGTGCCTCACTTTCCAAAGAACAATGTGAAAGAGGGAGAGTGCTAACTTTGCCCTGGAGAAACCTGGCCTGCACCACCTTCCCCACATTCCTAGGGTTGGTATCACTGTGATAAATCATGTTACATGATACCGTGTAGTCTGAGGAGGTGAGAGCACTTCACCTCTGTGGTACTCTTGCTAAAATCCCATTGCCCAGGTGGAAGACGTTCTACAAGATAGCAGTGCTTAAATCGTCAAAAATCAAGAAAAACAAGGACAGAAGACCAGAGGAGGTTAAGGAGACATGATAACTAAATGCAGTGTTGGATCCTGGACCAGAAAGAGGGCATTCGTGTAAAAACTAGCAAAATCCGAATAAAGTCTCAAGTTCAGGTAGTAGTAATGTACCAGTGTTAGTTTCTTAGTTTTGACAAACGTCTCATGGTAACGTAAGATGTTAATGTTAGGGAAAACTGGATGAGTGGTATACAGAAAAGCCATATAAGCTTTGTGACTTTGATAAATCTAAAATTATTCCAAAATAAAATAATTAGGAAAAAAATGTGAATGCTTTCTCACTGTAAGCCTGGTTTCTAAGGCAGGATGTGGTGCGCAGACCCTCAAGAGCTAAACGTGCCCGGGTGAAAATCCTAGTTCCCCAGCTTTAGACTGTGTAACTAGGCAAATTGCTTAACTGCTCAGCCATTTAGTGAAAATTCCTATGATAACGGCTGTATCACAAAAGTTAAATAAGATTAAAGTGTTTAGCACAGTGCCTGGCACTGGAGAAGCTGCTGCTATTCTTGTGCCTGTTCACTTCGTATGCCAACAGCATGAGTGACAGCTGGCTGGAATCCTGGTGGAAAAATGCTGGCAGTTGCTGGAGCATTCTTTCTATTTCCTTTGATGGGACTTTGCAACTTCTGCTGTTTCCTGGTAACCAGAGATGCAATCAGCCAGGTCTTTGAAAGCAGTTCCTTTCAGAGTTTCGTTTGCAAGGAGAGCCAGTTTGTGCAGCTCCGGTTGTAACGTTGCAGCCTATTGGCCACTGAGGCGGGCAGAGCAGGGCAGGACTAGACGAGCTGTTGCCCATCTGCGACTGCAGACCACGGAAGCCCGGACTTGGCAGGTGAGCCTGAAGGCACTGGCTATAACTGCACCCACAACCAGGCCGCTAGAAGTGGTCCCTATTTCTCTCTGGCTGCTCTCTCTTACCTGAGCTCCTGCAACAGTTTCTCTCATAGCAAGTCTCTCTGTATTCCCTCTGGCCCCTGCCTATCCCTAGACCACACTGCAGCTGTGTGATCTAAAACTAATTGAATTGTCGCTCCCCTGCCATCTTGTCACTGCCCCACCCTGTTGTCTTCAGTCTAGAACCCAGTCTCCTCCATGAATCTCCAGTGTTTTATCTGGCCCTGGCATACCCTTCACCCTCTCACTCTGCCCAAGCCAAACCTACTTCCTTTCGCTTTGCCAATTGTCCATGCCTTCAGTCTCTTGCCCCTGTGTCCCCCCCTCCAGCTTGGCTCCTTCACTGTTTACTTTCTCCCACTTGGCTTCACTGCCTCATCTATTAGAATCAGTTATTCGGCACTATCTCAAAGGTATCTTCCAGGATGCCCCTCAAGGTGCTTCTCCACTGAATTCCCACAGCATCCTTACTCCCCGCATGGTTCCACTGGTCGCCCTTTATTCTAATAGCCTATTTTCCTTGCTGAGCTCTGAGAGGGCAGGGAGTATGTCTTGTTCAGTGTCTGCTGCCCCAGCACCCAGCGCAGTCTGCAAAAGTAGGAGCTCAATAAAGATTTGTTTGATGAATCACTGAGAAAATGGACGAATGGGCTTTCACCTGTAGTTCAGCCAGCTAGATACAGGCATGTGTCACTTAATGGGGATATGGTCTGAGAAATGTGTTAGGCGATTTTGTCATTGAACCTCATAGAGTGTACTTAAACAAACCTAGATGGTATGGCCCATTGCACACCTAGGGTATATGGTACTAATCTTATGGGTCAGCTGTCATATATG